CAGACTAAAGTGCTGTTAACTAGCACCAGCTACCTGCAATTACTGCAAGTTCAAATCTCACCAGGCTCAAGGTTGACTCAGCCTTCCATCCTTTCGAGGTAGGTAAAATGAGGACCCGGATTGTAGGGGCAATAAGATGACTTTGTATAAAAAAGAACACCGCTTAGGGGGGGCCAAAAGCCCTACTAAGCAGATATATACAAAAGTATGAAGGCTATTGCTTAACACATTGTAAGCCGCCCTGAGTCTCTGGAGAAGGGCGGCATATAAATTGAACCAATAATAATAATAATAATAATAATAATAATAATAATAATAATAATAATAATAGTACAAGTATCCAGGGAGACCCTGTTCCAGAAGGCAGGTGCAGCAACAGGGAAGGATTGCTTCCTGGGTCCTGGTTGTTTAGTTAATAGAACCCAAAACTAGCCAACTCTGTTGGATTGTATGGACTCTATGGGAGGCAGATGAGCATTTTGATAATTAGGTCTTCTGCCATATATGGTTTTAAATGTAATAATGCAGCATAGGTATTACATGGGCAGATGTTTACACCATCTGTAGCGTCTGATTATCTCTTTAAGAATAACCCCATATACAATCTACTGTAACAGTATATCTGCAAGGTGGTGAAGAGTGACTGGAAGGAGGGACTCTCTGTTTAAGAATCGGCACAACTCCCAAATAGGCTGATCCTCTGCCACCTGCTCCTTGAGCTGGAAATGACAGTCACCCCAGATTACACTAGTTCTGATTGGGGCAATGCAATCCCATTCAGGACTAGAAGATTCATCGAACCAAACCAAGTGATTGAAGGAGAAGGTTGTCACAAGTACCTTGAGTGCTTTTAAGCAAGCTCACCAGACTCCTTTCTCACAGGACCTATTTAGGGAAAATATAGCCAGCGGCCAGTTGAAGACCATACCAAGAATCTACATTCTTTGACTGCTCCTATTCCAAGGCAGGCAATGGCAGATTTTCCTATCTGACTCTGTATTCCAAAGTTTTGATGGCTTGCCATGTTCAATAAATGTCACTGCCATTGGCAAATAACTTTTTCAAATCTTGCATAAATCATACTATTAAGACTCAGTCAGATCATTAATCTATTACCACTAAAGTACAGTAACTAAAAAAAACCAACCAAATAAAATATTTCTGTCTGATATAAAAATTTATTCTTCTGCAAATCCTGAGATTGTTCCAAGGCTGCTAAAATTTCTATTTTGAGAATACCAATGCTGTTTGATTAATTAAGAACTGATGCATAGAGAATTAAAATCTGAGAGATCAGTCAAAATAGAAAGATCGCTTAATTTTTAATAACTAATACCCAAATGGATCAGAAAATTGATAATATAGAACTGGACAATTTCCTTCAACTCTAAGTTTGACTGCCATGTGTTAGAATGGAACATAGCTAGATTCTGGGATTTGTAATAGTGGAAGTTGAAAGGCTTTTATAAAACATGAATGGAACTGCTCTTCCACTCCTATTTGCCTACTATAAGTAACAAGGAAAAGCAAAACTAAAGTATACAACTGATTAGTCTCATAACTCCAAATATTCTGCCCACATTTTCAGGTAATGCAAATCAGGGAACATTCAGCTTATGATATATTTCTCACAGATAATCCAAAATTATTATGCCATCTCCAATTAACACCATTATGTATGTTTAACTGGTCACAGAAAACTATGAAGGATCTTTTATCTCTGTCTGAGGCTCATGATACAGACCCTTGTGATACCAACTATGCTGAAAAGCTACATGGCAAATAGTATACATACACAAAGGGAGAAAATTTGAAACATATCCTAGTTTCCTTCATTCAGAATCATCACAGGTTTTCCTCTAGCATCATTATTATTTCCAGAACATCCAAGTCCCCTGAATTCAGGCTCCAATAAGACTCAGAGATTATCTTGTCAATACCCCAGCCATTTCCTCATTACAGACATCATTGAGAATTTAGTAACATCAGCATTTTCTAAATAAGGAATTGGCAATGTTGATCCTTCAGGTGTTAAACTCCAGGTTCTAACAGCCCCAGCCAATGTGGTAAACTATGAAAGATAATGGGAATTACAATCCAACATGTCCACAAGGACATACATTGCTTATCACTGATATCAGTCTTCAGTTAACTCAAAGGTGGGGAACTATGGCCCCTTTATGACTTGTGGACTTCAACTCCCAGAATTCCTGAGCCAGCATCAAGTTCAACTTCAACTTCAGAGTTGAAGTCCAAAAGTTGTCAAGGTTCTAAGTAATAGCCCCATAGAAAGAAGAATTCCGAGGCAGATTCCTCAAAGAACAGTTTTATTGGCGATATCATATTGGCGCAAACTGGTGAAAATGACTCTGAAAGTTCCCGCGGTTTTCACCTGATTAAAAAGGTGAAAGTTCCCCCTTTCCCCAAATAATCAGTCACATTGTCCAATCAAGGTGCTGGCTGGTTGCCTGGTTACATCACCACCCCTCTTCTCCAGTCACCTGTTGGAATGTCCTTGGTTCCCACAAGAAACTATTTTGTTTTGGCTACCAAAACCCCATCTAACTATGTTCCCCCTCCCTATCCCTGCTTCGCATTGTGGCAACCCTGAAGCCTCCAAAATGGCCCCAATCGTGTTTGCTTCAGAGTTGACACGTCATAAAAGAGCCATAGTTCCCTACCCCTGAGTTAACTAATCTAACTCTGGTAAATAATCCTGGTAAAACTAAAAAGATTTTAGATTTTATTTGTCTATGTTAAAGAACTATCATAGTTACCCATCTATAGATTGGGTATCTCTCATAAAGATATCATGGAAGTCATAAAATCATGAGGCATGTTTATCAATTGACTTTTAATATTCTCTAAAATCATACATCTGCAGTAGTCCAAGAGCACCTATATCTATTTTGGCAAGAAGATCCTTGGATTGTGGAAGAAAACAAATACCACCAGAATCACTATCTTGACACTTATCATTCTGGTGATTGCTGATGGGACACTTGAGATGAAAGAACCTCAATCCTCCTTATTAACTGCAACATAAAACAAAAATAAAACAAAATCACACTCTAGCACTAGCACTGAAAGGTTAAATATGTGCCTCTCTTTATGTTATTGTGCTCTGAACTGCCTCTTAGCACCATCTTTACCATACACCAGAGGTGGGTTTCAACAGGTTCTGACCAGTTCTGAAGAACCGGTAGTGGAAATTTTTAGTAGTTCGGAGAACCGGTAAATACCACCTCTGACTGGCCCTGCCCCCATCTATTCTCTGCCTCCCGAGTCCCAGCTGATCAGGAGGAAATGGGGATTTTGCAGTAATCTTCCCCAGATTGGGGAGGGAATGGAGAGTTTACAGTATCCTTCCCCTGTCACGCCCACCAAGCCATGCCCACAGAACTGGTAGTAAAAGTTTTTGAAACTCACCACTGCCATACACCACTAATGATCAAGATGATACTGATGGGCTGTATGCTAAAATAAAGCCAGATCATGATACACACTTGAAAGTAAATCAGGAAGCCTGTAATTGCAGAGTTTGTCTGGCAAGAACAAAGAATGCTTATCTACAGGAAATATGCATGTGTAAATCTTGTAATAATTCTCGGTAGTTAGAAAGCTGACAACTTGCAGATCTCAGCTAACAGTTAGGAATAGTGATGGCCTGCAGCCAATTAAATGTGTATTAGATAACTCCTGGGGCATTCATTAGCCAAGGTTTAGGAATAGGGACAGCTAAAGATCAATAGAACAAATTGTAGAATTATTACTAAAATGCTTATTATTATCTCGCCTTGTCCTGCCTTTTCTTTTAGTGAAAATGTATAAATCTTACTTAATCCTTTGTTCTTGGTATTTTGGCCAGGAGCCCTTTTCCTTGGAGTACTCCAATAAAAAGCAAACAGAAAACCTGCACCTCGTGTTTGGCGTCCATCATTGGCTTCGGCACCAGGCTCAGACCCGAATTGGGGACAACAATCCTGTCTGGGAGATTGTATCCCCCAGGGAAACACTTAAAATATAAATATCTACTGAGAATTCTAAAGTTTCAGCCACCCCCAAAAGGTCTTGTCTGATTCTACTGACACTGGGTAGATAAATCAATTCTCATTAAAGAATTGTCCTGTTATGTTCCAAAGAAATGCCATTCTTTTACAAGAACAAAAGAATCAAATTACCGTATTTTTCAGAGTATAAGATGCACCTTAGTTTTTGGGGAGGAAAATAAGAAAAAAGCTGATTGGCGGGTGGATCAGCCTCTCGGAATATCCCCAATCAACTGTTCCCAGAGATGAATTTTAGCAACAGGTTCTTTTGTTGTGAGGTCTGTGCCTTGCTTTTTTTTTCAGCCTCTGAAACTCTGTTTCAGAAAAAACTTTTTTTTCTGCCTCTGAAAGCCTCCGAAACAGAGCTTCAAAAAAAAAGAAAAGCCTCTGGAACTTTGTTTTTTTCTGAAGGTCTGTTTGGAGGCTTTTTTTCTGAAGCTTCATTTCTGAGGCTTTTTTCAGCCACTGAAACCTCTGTTTGAGAGGCTGGGCGCGGCTACATTCGGAGTGTAAGACACACCCGTTTTTCACCCTCTTTTTTTGGGGGGGGGGAAAGGTGCATACTCCAAAAAATAAGGTACATTGCAGGACATATTAAACAAGAGAAAATTAATATGAAATCATTGTACTTTTCAGGTTTAATCAGTTTCTACACAATTCAATGCTATTACTATATTTCATTTTCTAAGATTCCTAATGAAAGGAATAAGAGTTTTAGTACTCCAAATGAGGAAAACTCTAGATTGACTTAATTAATTCAAGGACTTCATAGATTAAAAATCTAACTGCATGTTTGCCATTTTAAGCAATAACTTTGAAAGAAAGTGAACATGAACCAATGTTAAATCATAAAATTTACATTAAAATGATCCAGTAAGATTTCTCAATGTTAAAAATGTTTTAAACATTTAACCCACAGCCAAGATGTTTGTTTTTTAAATAGTTATTTACCTTCAAATAAACTGAGGTCTCTTCGTAGCCTTGGTCCATAAAGCCCTTCTAAAATACTTTCAAAGCCTAACAAAAAACAAAAATTAAACATTTTACTGTACAGTATATCAAATAGTTTCACAAATGTAGCAGCTGAAAATCATTGCATATAAGCACATTGTTACAGAAAAGGAAATGTTTCTGGATACAGGTAGTTCTTGGTTTACAATCACATTTTCAGTTGCTAAGTGAGACATTTGTTAAGTGAGTTTTGCCCCATTTTACTACCTTTCTTGAATCACTGCAGTTGTTAAGTTAGTAACATGGTTGCTAAGTGAATCTGACTTCCCCATTGTCTTTGCTTGCCAGAAGGTAGCAAAAGATGATCAAATGGCCCTACAGCATTGCAACCATCATACACGTGTCAGTTGCCAAGCATCTGAATTTTGATCAGGTGGCCATGGGGATGCCACGATGATCATAAGTATGAAAACCAGTCATAAGTCACTTTTTTCAGAGATATTGAAAGTTTGAACAGTCACTATATGAGCTGTTGTAAGTTGAGGATTACCTTTACAGAGATTTCAAAGAAAAACTCAATGATCTAAAACAGGGGTGTCAAACTCAATTTCAGACAGAGCCGCATCAGCATTATGGTTGCCCTAAAAGGGCCAGGTGCATGTAAGACTATGACTACTCACGCAGCCAAGTGAGCATTGCTGGATAGGCCAGGTCACAGCCAGGTCACTCCAACACTCCAGATGGGTGTAGCATGATGGGCATGGCCAGCTCGACGCTGCTCACTGGGCGCAGCTGACTCGGGATGCCTGGGTTGGGGTGGAACAAGTTGTACTGGCTAACTCGACGTGAGTTAGTGAGTTAATGCGTGCACACACACATATTGCATTCTAAGTTTCGGGACTTTTATTCATAGAGGAAGGAGGGGCCCTTCTCCCCAAGTCCAGGCATGATTGGTAGTTTGCAAGCTCAGATGTGGATGAAAGTCTTCAAGCTTGGAATTGTGTGTTTGTGTGTATGCATGTGAACACCATGCCAAAGGAGATGTTCTTCTCCCAATCCCAGACACTGTTGGACATTGTTTCCCTGTCCGGTGCCCAATCCCAGCAAAGCAGGAGGCCGAGGATGCTGCTGCATGTAGAAGTATGGAAGAGAAAGTTTTCAGGAAGCAGTTTCCTCTGAATCCAAGTTTTACCATGACAGATCTCTGGAGAGCAAGAGGAGGTGGCAGGTGTTCTGACCTAGGCTCCCTTAAAAAGCAGGAAGCAGGAATTGGTCCCGGCAAAACATCTTTTATATACACGACTGTGAATTACTTTCATTCACAGTCAGCAAGGTTTGTCCAAACAGTTTTTCAAAGGAATATTTATCAACACACCTTATCTCATTTGGCAAGCTGCCACATAACTTGCTTCCAAATGCAGAGTAAGGCAAAACTTGGCAGTCTCTTAGCATCACGAACAGAACTTTCCACTCTTGAAACTACCGAACGAACAAACTGTTTCCTGCAAAAGCCCCCTCCCCGTTTGCTCTTTTGTTTCCTATGGGAGGGGCCAATCATCTCCAAGGTGTGGCTTTACTCCCAAGTCGACCCTGCTTTCTGAGTTGTTCTTGTCTTCTGGCAGCTCTGCACATGCACACACTGGGAACGGGCTCCAGCTGTTCCTCTGCCTCGCTGCTGTCTATCTCCCTCTCTGCGTCTGATGCAGAGCACTCATCCGAGCTTTCCCCAGCCCCCAAGGACTGGCCCATGTTCCTCCCCAATTGCCTCACTGTCTACTCTGCTGCCAGTACTGCTGACCCCTGGCGGGCCACAACAGCAGGAGAGCAGTGCTCCACAGGCCAGCATGGAGGCTGGCCCTTCTTGAAAGGAAATCCCCATTTCCAATCGTGTGTGGTAAAGATGCTGTCTTTTGGGGGCAGTCTTACCTCACGCAGCTCTCCCGCCACCCACTCCTCCTCTCCAGAGATCTGTCAAGGCAGAAATTGGACTTGAAGAAAACTGTTTCCTGCAAATTTTCTCCTCTGCACTTCCACACACAGGGTCATCCTCTGCCTCCTGTGGGGGGCCAGGCAAGGGTGGGAGGGGGGATCCAGAGGTCTCCATTGGAGGAAGACAAGACTAGGGTGAGTGCCAAAGTCTCATCCACCAGAGGAGCCTGGTCATCCCTCTCAAGACATGCAGAGGACCACCGGAGGGCAGTGCAGGCTACCCAGAGCCCTGGGCAGTGGAGGGCAAGTGTCCAGCTTGGCCCTCAAGCTCCCAGAGCACCAGGACCTGCAGCCCAGCCCTGCTTCCTCAAGGGGGTGCTTGGCCGTGGTTACCTCCTCCTCGAGGCTGCTGTTGTTGTGCTTGCTCTCCTTGGCCAGGATGCTCATGGTGGGTGCGGGAGGGCAAACAGCATGGGTCAGAGGGAGGCCCACTGCCTCTCTATGCAAGGAGACTCAGCTTTGTAAGCAAAGCATCCTCAGTGATAGGATGGGAGACCACCAGAAGAGGCCAAGATGGGATGGTGATAGGGCAGCAGGGCTGCTGGTGGCCAAGTGCTAAGAGACGACTTCCCTCAAACCCTACCTCCCTGTCATTCCAATCTCCCTCCCTCTTTCTTATTCCCATATCCTTCCTTCCTTCCTCCCTCCCTCTGCGCGTAGGAAGGGATGAAGGGAGGGAGTGAGGGCAGCAGGTGGCCAGGGAGTCCCCTAGGACAGGAGACCACCAAGAAAGCCCGGAAGGAGGGGACGTAGGGAGGATGAGAAGGTGGCAGCAATGCTGTTGGCCATGGCTTTCCCATACAGGGGTGGGGCGGGAGCCGTCCTGGTGAAAGGGAAGCCCTCATGGGCTGCAGGGCCAGTGGATGAGGTCGGGTCAGCTAATAGGCCATGGAAGTGGCAGAGGCGCTGGTGGCAGGTGCAGCACTGCAGTCAGTGCTCTACGTGCTGCTCTACAATTTTGTGGCAGCCACTCAGTGCTAGAACATGGTCAGCCTGCGGGATAAGACAGTGCTCATCACAGGTCAGCTGCACACCAGCCCCCACATGCTCGCTGCCTCCTGTGTGCACACACAGGGAGAACGCCTGGCTGGGATGGGGCCAAACAGTGGGGACCAGCCCCTTGCTGTCACCAGGACAGCCCCACAGGCCAGATCTAATCACATTGCAGTCTGGATATGGCCCGTGGGCCTTGAGTTTGATATGTCTGAACTAAAGGCGCTGATATACATCTTCTCCCCAACACACATATAGTCCTTGAGTTACGAATGTAATGGAGCCTGCCCATTCCATTCATAACCTGAGGATTCGTGGGAGTGAATCTCGTACCTTGAACAGGATCACTCCCTCCTTTTGCCCACGCATTTGCTAATCAAATACGAGGCTTGTTAAGTGCACAAGAAGTATTTCACTGTGGGGAAGGCCATGGGGGCCTACTGATGGAACAGGCCACCTGCCTAAGACCACCCAAGGCCTCCCTGACACACTGAAATACCTCATGCTCCACACAATTGTTTCCCTCCAACCTGCTGCGCTGGATTCGCCCCGCCGGAAGCTCCATTTCGGTCTGCAAAGGGCTGAGTGAGGCCACAAAGGGCCGAACAGCGTGTCAGAGGGGTGGATTCACCCCTCAGAAGCTCCATTTTGGCCTGCAACCTCCAGTCAAGGTCTGCGGAGGCCCGAACGAAATTGCAGAGGGCTCTGGAAAGGAGACTGCTTGCTAGATCTAAGGTAAGTGACCTGGTGCAGCAGGTTGGGGGAAAAGCAATTGTGGGGAGCATGAGACCCAAACGGAGCTTCTGAACGGATCCACCCCTCAGAAGCTCCATTTTGGCCGGCAAACTTCAGGACAAATGTTGCAGAGCCTCTGTAGTTGTTCGTAAGGGCGAACAACTGCCATAGTGCTGCAAGATTTGTACTTTCTGAACTTGTTCACAAACGCTAGGCGGCGCTTATCACATAACATCAAATGTTCACTAACAGAACGCTCGTAACCCAGAGACTAGGTTCACACACTTTCTACTGTACCTCGTGCCTTTATATAAATGGGATTTATGTGAAAAGTGATCCCATTCATACCACTTTCTATTTAAAAAATGGCAAACTCAGAATGGACTGAACTGATTCAACAAATAGTCTAAGATATAAAGTTTATCAGAAATACACTTTGTATATTCAGGGCTGTGTGAAAATTGAACTAGTTTTCAAAATAGTGAATATCTAAAGCCTCGGTTGCCAATGAGAATATAAGGAGATATTTTCTAGAAGAACTATGAACAGGGTAATTTGTAAAGAATGAAGGTGCCGGTAAAATTCAAAAAGATGAGATGAATCGGAAGAAAATCCAGTCTAAAGGAGCCACTAATCTAGGGGGGTCAAACTTGCAGCCCGTAGGCTGGATGCATCATGTGCTGGCCATGCCCACTCCTGGTTTAGCGAAGGGGGGGAAAGTCATGCTATGTCACGTGACGACATGAGTTGGACACCTCTGCATAATCTATCAAGTTGCAATGTGCTGTGATTTATCATTTTAATAGGGAATATGATTTGTTAAAAACTCTCTAAATATAATGTAACATAATACAATATAATATATAAAAATATGATAAAATGAAAGTATCTCTGTTCTGATTACATTGAATTACACGACTCATTAATAACAGCCTCTTAAAATTTGTTATAAAAATTTGCAAACTTGTGTAATGTACAGATGCTAAGGGAATAGTAATACAATCACTGACATATAAACCAGAAATGCAGCTGTCCAGCATCTTTTTTATGCTCTTCTACTTGCAAAGCACTCTAAAGCACTTAATGTCAAAGAATTTGCCTTTTTTACAGGATCATCTTTGAGGGCGTCACTTAAGAAAAAATTGAACACCTTGTGGCTTGCAAAAAGATAAAGTGTTATGTTAGATTAATATTAGAAAAACCTTGATTCAAGTCTAATCTTAGTTATGGAAGCTCACTGGGAAACTCTGGACCTGTGACTATTTTTCTCAGCCCAACTACTTTACACAGTAGCGTGAGGAAAAATCAAATGACTGAGTACTTTGAATAATACTTGGAAAGGCTGGATGTAAACTTAATAGATACATGTTGCATCAAATCAATCACTGTGGTTTATCCAGCAAACTTCTAATAACAAATCATGACATAAAAATATTATATTTGATAACAGAAGTCCTGAATAATTCCTACAGATTCCAATGAAGCCCTAAAAAACCTGCTGCATCATAGAATTTTGCATTGGAGTGTAGATTTAAAATACAGTTAAAACCTCTGAAAGTTGACCATCTAAGACAGTGGTCACCAATTGGTGGTCCATGGACCACTGGTGGTCCATGAGAAAATTTTGGTGGTCCACAGAAAAATTATTTTCATTTTTTATATTGCACTAAATCACGGGTCCTGTCCCTGGAACAGATACGTGCAATGAATGTTTCTGTTGCTGCAGTCTCCCCATTCAGGGTCTTTTTGTGTAGGCCGGAGGGTAGCAGAAATTCCGATTCAGGGTCTGCTTCAGCCTCCTGGTGTGGGGCTTTAGGCGAAGGCTGGAGGGAAGTGTCGCTGGTGGCAAAGAGCTGGAAGGCCTCGTTCCAGTGGGACTGGTTCATGGCCTGGAACTGGCTGACCATCTCAGCCCGCTGAGCCTCCAGGTGCCGGTACCTGGCCTTGCACTCCCGTAGGTCTTCCCTCTGCTTGGAAAGCCTATGCTTGTAGTCCTCAATGAGGTGCTTCTGCTGAGCCTCCTTCTCGGTCAGATCCAATTTGAACTGAGCTGTTTTGCCAATTCTTTCTCATGGTGGCTGCTTAGCTCCAAAAAATTGCTTCCTGTTGGTCCCTAAGGAGCCGGGTGGGGAGGCGGGCAGTGGGTGGGAGTAGAGGCTGGTAAGGTGCCCTTTGATGTAACATTGAGTTGGCCATGCCCACCCAGTCACATGACCACCTAGCCACGCCCACCGTCATTAGGCAGATCATATTAATGGTCTGCAGAATTTAAAATTATGAATTTAGTGGTCCCTGAGGTCCAAAAAGTTGGGGACCCCTAACCTAAGGGACTCGACAAAAGTAGTCAACATACGGAACAACTGTATTAATATTTACACATGGCTCATTTTATTGTACAGCTTTTATTAAAGAATGTCATACAGAAACACGGATGGTGAAAAGAGAAAAATCATACAATACTGTATCATACAAAATCAATACATTTACATATGTATTGTTTTCTCCTAATTTAATCATTCTTTTTGGAAAAAAAAGAGTCAATTTTAGTCTGTTTCTTATTCTTGTTATGAAGGTAAGTGGAGAAAGCACTCTCAACGCTGGCTACACCACTCAGCATATCTGGGCATTTTTCCACAGCAAATGACATTTAACTGCATTATCAAATGACTGGCATCCTCTTCTTTCGGAATATCTGAAATTTCTGTGTGTCCTCCTCACTTAATTCTTCTGCTTCATCAGTTGTTTCCAGCACTTTTCCACTGGGTTGTACCATGATTAGTACTGATTGGAAAATTGCTCCCGAGTCAGGGTTAGGGTTAGGATTTTGCTTTTGCAAATGGATCATAGGTTTGCATTTTAGCAATGACCCACTGCAGAAGCTGGGCTTGGTAATGAATTTTGAATGTTTTGATTATGCCTTGGTCAAGAGGTTGAATTTTTTGATGTAATGTTTGGAGGCAAAAATTTCAGTTTCACATTTGTAAGATGATTCATTTGGGGACGGCTAGGAAATTGTCCACTACAAGGCAAATGGACCATTTCTTCTTAATTTCTTAGTGAATATCTCTTATTCACTCCCCAAATAGGACACTGGGCATCCATGCAGAATTCTTAGATTTCCAGGTAACTGGAAAGTCTTTGGGCTGCAGGTTCTTGAATGAGCGTGGCTTTGTCGATTTGCCAAGATTTTAGTTTCTCTCTGGTTAAGCTAGCACACAGAACTGTGAAACGTTCTTCAGAAAATTTTCTACTCATATTTGTCACCATTCATAACGAGGCTACTGTCAGGTATCGACTTGAAAAAGAGTCCACAGTCATCAGCATTAAAGAAGCTGTCATCTTTACTGCCAAATCAAAGTAAAAAATATTGTATTCTTTGATATTCTTCTTGAAAGAAATTCATGCTACCAATTCTGCATTTCACTTTTCTTGCCCTTGTAGACTGAACTCAACTGGTCAAGTTATTGAGAGTAAATTAATACCATGTATCAAAGTCCAGCTGGTCAAGATACAACCTTCAGAGGTGGTCAATATAGAGAAGTTGGCTTTCTATTATGTACATATAGTGTATGTCAAGTTTATGAAAATAAGATCAACTTAGGGAGGTGGTCAACTATGGAGATTTTACTTGTATAAGAATAGCTTACAAATAAGTAAGGCAGTAGTTCTCAATCGTTTCTTCACCCTTTAAATACCTTTTATGGCCAAGGGCCATGGTCACGGACCTGCAAGCCTTAACTCAAGATTTGAATCACAACATTTCTTCAAGCCTTCAGGGACACCCTATGATGACATCATAGACCCTCAGGGTTCCGTGGACCACAGGTTGAGAACCACTGAGATAAGGTATTCAAAGTTTTTATAAAACATTTACAAAACAGAACAGAGTTGGAAGGGACCTTGGAGGTCTTCTAGCACAACCTCCTGCTCAATGGTATAGGAAACCCTAGACCATTTCAGATAAGTGACTGTACAGTCTGTTTTTAAAAGCCTCCAATGATGGAGCACCCACAACTTCTGAAGGCAAGCCATTCCACTAGTTTATTGTTCCGTGTCAGAAAATTTCTCCTTATTTCTAGGTTGAATATCTCCTTCATCAGTTTCCATTCATTGTTCCTTATCTGGCCTTCATTCTAGGTTACCTCTCTACTTGGTTAGTTTCCAAAGATTGCTTTTTGTCCTACTTCTGGTGCTTTGGAAAATAGGTTGACCCCCTTTTCTTTGTGGCAACTCCTCAAATATTGGAATACTGCTGTCATATGTCTCCTAGTCCATCTTTTCATTACCCTGTTTCCCTCAAAATAAGACATTCCCTGATAATAAGCCCAATTGGGCTTTTGAATGCATGGCAATAACACCAAGCTCTTATTTCAGGGTTCAAAAAAATATAAGACAGGTCTTATTTTTGGGGGAACACGATAAGTTTTAGCATCCAGCACCCTAATCATCTTTGTTGCTCTTCTCTGCACTCTTTTCAGAGTCTCAACATCTTTTTTATCTTGCGGTGACCAGATCTGGATACAGTATTCCAATTGTGATCTTACCAAGGCCTTATAAAATAATATTAATACTTCATGTGATCTTGATTGTATTCCTCTGTAAATGCACCCTAGAATTGCATTGGCTTTTTTTGGTGGTTGCAGTACATTGCTCACTCATATTTAAGTGATTGTCCATTAGGACTCCCAAGATCCCTCTTGCAGTTATTGCTATTGAGCCAAGTTTCATCTAATCTGTACCTGTACAGATTTTTAGACAAGTTTTTCTCACCTACCCCTAACTCTAGTTCTTAGCCCTGACTCCAAGAAGACCTAACTGTAAGCCTAGCCCTAATTAAATTTTCATTGGTAAAGGGATTTTCCCATGTATTTTCTTGCATACATATAAAATCTTACATTTCTCTACATTGAATTTCATTTTGTTAGATAGGGCCCAGTGTTTTTGTCGATAGGATCTTGAGCCTATCTTCTGGGCTATTTCTGCCAACTTGGTGGTATCTGCAAATTTGATGAGACCCCTTTCTATCCCCTCATCTAAATCATTTATGAAAATATTGAAGAGCACTGGGCCTAAAACAGAAACTTAGGTACCCCTCTACTTAGTTCCCTCCATGTAGACACAGTTCCATTGGGGACTACATGTTGAGTGCGGTTTGTCAGCTAGTTACAAATCCATCTTGTGGTGATGCTGTCTATTCCACATTTGTCTAGCTCACCAAGAAGTAGGTTATGGTCTACTTTGTCAAATGCTTTACTGAAATCCAAGTATACTATGTCCAAAATATTTTGCTAATTTAGTCACTTTGTCAAAGAATGAAATGATTTGTTTGGCATGATCTTTTTTTTGATAAATCCGTGTTGGTTTCTGGTTATAACTTTGCCTGTTTCTAGCTGTTCGCAGATCTGTTGCTTGATTATCTTTTACAGGATCTTCCCAGGTATTGATGTCAAGCTGATTGGTCTATAGTTTACTGGATCTGTTTTTAAGATGTGGACCTCATCAGCTTTTTTCCAGTCCTCTGATAATTCCCCGGTGCTCCAGTATCTTTGAAAGATATGATTCAATGGTTCCAAGACCACCTCTGCCAGTTCCTTCAGAACTCTGGGATGTAATCCATCTGGTCCTGGTGATTTGAACTCATCTAGAGTAAACAGATATTTTCTTACCATTTTCTTGCCTATTTTAATTTGAATTCCTAGTCTATCTTTTATGATTCTGTCTTGGTAGTTTGGGTTATTTTTTCTTTGTATGAAGACAGATGTAAAGAAAGAATTTAGCAGCTTTGCTTTCCCCCTGCTGCCCATCACTTCCTTGCCATCTTCTCCCATTAGTGGACTGATTGTTTCTTTGACTTTTTTCTTGTTTTTTATATGTTGAAAGAAACTATTACTATTATTATTAACATTTGTTGCAAGTCTTACTTTTTTCTTGTTTTTATATGTTGAAATTATTATAATTATTTACTTTATTCATTAAACATGAAACTCAGTCAACTGAACATTCAAAAATGCATCACAAATACCATTGACTGGTGCTAATGGTTGATATGGGTTGCTGCCAGCATCCTAGGTATCAACCAAGTACCTTCTTAAGATGTACGATGTTCCAAGTAGTGCAGTTTTTTTGCAGTTCCGCTGGTGTTATTGCAGGAAGCTGCAATTTGTTGATGTATCTTACAAAATTCTTGGACATGGTACCAAGTGCCCCGATGACAATGGGTATCAGTGTTATTATTAACATTTGTTGCAAGTCTTACTTCATTCTGAGTTTTAGCTTTCCTGACCATCTTTGCAGATTTGGACTATATGCTGATATTCTACCTTAGCTATGTGTCCTTCTTTCCATTTTTTATACTTATCCTTTTTATCTTTTGTTTTATCAGAGAGTTTTTTCTGCATCCATGCTAGTTTCTTCTTGGATTTCTTATTTTTCTTTTTTAGTGGTATTGTGCTGGTATTTTTCAGTGGTATTGTGCTGGACCGGGCTTTTATAATAATATTTTTTAGAGTTTCCCAAGCTTCTTGAGTTGTTTTCCCCTTTAAGATATTCATCCAAGGAATCCTCCCCAAATTCTAAGTTTGTTGAAATCAGCTCTTTTAAAGCCTAAAACACTGGTTTGATTAAGTTCTTGTTTATGTCTGCATTATGTTGCATTCCAAGATGACATGATCACTTTCCTCCAAAATTCCTGCAACTTCAACCCCCTCTATCATTTCTTCTCTATTAATAAGAATTAGGTCCAGTATAGCTTTTCATCTAGTTCCCATCTCTACCTTTTGGATGACGTTGTCAGCTAGGTTCATCAGGAACCTGTTCGTTCTCTCATTTGATGCAGAATTTGTATCCCAGTTGATGTTAGGGTAATTAAAGTTCCCCATTACTACTGTGGTGTGATTCTGATGTACATTTGTTAAATGATAAATAAAAAGATAATCTACTTCTTCTGTTTCGTTGAGTGGCCTGTGGTAAATACCTATGGCATGGCAATGGCCTTCTTTTTTCCTTTTATATTAACCTGTATGCATTCTAGGCGGCTTTCATTCTTGGTTTTATGCATTTCTGTACAGATGTAGTGATCTCTTACATATTTTTTTTAAAATTTGATTTATATGCCGCCCTTCTCCGGAGACTCAGGGCGGCTTACAATGCGTTAAGCAATAGCCTTCATACTTCTGTATATTTATACAAAGTCAGTTTATTGCCCCCACAAACTGGGTCCTCATATAATGCAACTCTGCCTCTTCTTTTGTTAGATCTGTTTCTTTTATGCAGTTTATAGCCTTCCAGTTGTGAGTTTCATCCCACCAAATTTCTGTAATGGCAACTATATCATACCTGCCCTTGTATACTAGTATTTCAAGCTCTCTCTGTTTGTTCCCCAAACTTTGAGTATTGTTGTATAGACATCTGAATCCTTTATGGCTGACCCTGTAAATGCTTCCTAGACCTCCTAATTTGTATCTGAGTTTTTCTTCCTTCCCATCACTCTCTACCTCCTTACTTGATTGGTTGTTTTGGGATTTATGCTTGGGATTATGTCTAAAGATTTAAATAAATTGTTATTCCTCAAATTGTAATCTGAAGAACATAAAGGCTATGCTTACTTATTTCTATTTTAAATAGTTTATTTCCAGTAAGCTTTTTTGAATATTGCTTAATTTCAGACAGATACCACCTGATATCTTAGATTCATCTTTTAACTCTATTTCATGTAAATACATATTCCAAGGATATACAATCCATTTGTTAGAGTTCCATCTGGTGGGAACTGCAGTCTGACTACAAACCCCCTTTTCATCTTTGTAATTATACTGGTTCTATTTCTTCTCCATGAATTTGTAATTGGAGAAGAAGTTAGGAGTTTGTATTTAAAAATTAGTTAAAATTTAATCAGAGCTTTCCAACCAATCAAAATAATTATATTTATTGCAGTTTTCTATTTTGTACAGGAAGCAGCATCATGCTTTAAGATTAGCCTTCTTATGTTCCCCAAAATATTCTGGACTCACAACTCTGATTAGTTTTGCCCTCTATGGCCAAAAGCCAGCAAATGTAGACATTGCAAATGAAAATGCCTGAAGTAACCAATCTGGCACTAAGTGACAATGATGAGAAATGTACTTTGCATCATCCAATAGTTGTCTGGACTCTGGCAATTCAGATATGATAATTCTAAAATTCATACGAAACCTCTCTCTCTCTCTCTCTCTCCCCCCTCCCCTCCCCTCCCTCTCAGAGATTAGGTATAACTAAAGTCCTCTTTTAAATGAGTTGAGTAAACATTAGGAAAATATTATACAGGGCGAGACAATGGTTTAATTGTGTGCAAATTAATGCTTTCTTAGATAATTAAAAATTAATTAGCATAGGTTTTTTAAGTTTACAAAGTGAGCCCAACATGATATCTGGGCAGCTGACTGAAGTAAAAAAAGTCATTTAGTGGAGGTTTATTTCAACTTTGATTTCATGAAGAAAGAGAAGCAGCTGTTTTATCACAGGTTTTAGATTATTATGTTAATACAGTATTGGATAGGATAGTGCTATTTTACTTTGCTCTATGATCTAATTCCGTTAACTGTTGATTCTGGTTTCCAGACTCAACATTGAAAGGAATCATTTAGGCCATCAACTTCAGTTCTTTGCTAAGCACAATAAACCAAAATAAAGCATCCCTCCCCTTCATGGATTACTGCCTTGTCGTGGCGAAGGGGCTTGCATAGCTCAAGGAAGCTATGAGCTATGCCGTGCAGGGACACCCAAGACGGACAGGTCACAGCAGAGAGCTCTAACAAAATGTGTTCCACTGGAAAAGGAAATGGCAACCCACTCCAGTATCTTTGCCATGAAAACCCCATGGACAGTACCAAAAGGAAAAAAGATATGACGCTAGAAGATGAGCCCCTCAGGTTGGAAGATGTCCAATATTCTACTGGAGAAGAGCAGAGGGCTAGTACTAGTAGTCTAGTACCACAGAGAGCCTTCTCTGTGGGGGCACCTATGATCTGGAACGAGCTCCCCCCCAGAGATACGGAGGATCCCGGATCTGCGCACCTTCCGTCGCACGCTCAAGACTTTCTTATTTCATCAAGCTGGCCTGGCCTAAATCTTCTCCTTTTAAATGTAAATTTTAATTTGTTTTAAATTATTGGGTATTTTAAATTTGTCTCAGCCAAATTATTTAATTCGTTTTTATTCTATTTTAAATTTTTGTATTTATGTGTTTTATTCTGTGGCTGTTCACCACCCTGATTCCTTCGGGAGTAGGGCAGTATAGAAATCTAATAAAATAATAATAATAATAAATAATAATAATAGTGCCAGAAAGAATGAAGCGACTGGGCCAAAGCCGAAAGGACGCTCAGCTGTGGATGCATCTGGTGATGAAAGGAAAGTCCGATGCTGTAAAGATTTTTTCTCCATAGGAACCTGGAATGTAAGATGCATGAATCAAGGCAAGCTAGACGTGGTCAAACAAAAGATGAAAAGACTGAACATCGACATCTTAGGAATCAACAAACTAAAATGACAGGAATGAGTGAATTTAATTCAGATGACCATCAGGTATACTACTGTGGGCAAGAAGAAGAAATGGAGTAGCCTTCACAGTCAATAAGAGTAGGAGAAGTAATACTGAGATACAATCCCCAAAATGATAGAATGACCTCAGTTTGAATCCAAGGCAAACCATTCAATATCACAGTAATCCAAGTCTATGCTCCAACCACTGGTGCTGAAGAGGATGAAATTGACCAGTTCTATGAAGCCCTATAGCACCTTATAGAATTAACACCAAAAAAAGATGTCCTTATCATCATGGGGGATTGGAATGCTAAAGTAGGAAGCCAAAAGATAACTGGAATAACAGGCAAGTTTGGCCTTGGAGTACAAAATGAAGCAGGGCACAGTCCTAACAGAGGCAAAAGAGATTAAGAAGTGGTGTCAAAATTACACAGAACTATACAAGAAAGAGCTTAACATAACCACGATGGGGTAGTCACTGACCTCAAGCCAGACATCCTAGAATGTGAAGTCAAATGGGCCTTGGGAAATCTGAGTAACAACAAAGCTAGTGGAGGAGACAGCATTCCAACTGAGCTATTCAAAATCTTAAAAGACGATGCAGTAAAAGTGCTACACTCAATATGCCAGCAAATTTGGAAAACTCAACAGTGGCCACAGGATTGGAAAAGGTCAGTTTACATTCCAATTCCAAAGAAAGGCAATGCCAAAGAATGTTCAAACTATCGCACTATTGCATTCATTTCACATGCTAGTAATGTTATGCTTAAAATCCTACAAGCTAGGCTCCAGCTGTAAGTGGATTGAGAACTACCAGAAGTACAGGCAGGATTTTGGAGAGGCAAAGAAACTAGAGATCAAATTGCCAACATACGCTGGATCATGGAGAAAGCTAGGGAGTTCCAGAAAAACATCTACTTCTGCTTCATTGACTATGCTAAAGCCGTTAATTGTGTGGATCACAACAAATTGTGGCAAGTTCTTAAAGAGATGGGAGTACCAGACCATCTTATTTGTCTCTTGAGAAACCTATATGAGGGTCAAGAAGCAACAGTGAGAAATGAACACGGAACCACTGATTGGTTCAAAATTGGGAAAGGAGTCTGGCAAGGCTGTATACCGTAGCCCTGCCTATTTAACTTATATGCAGAGCACATCATGAGAAAGGTGGGGCTAGATCAGCGGTTCTCAACCTGGGGGTCGCGACCCCTTTGGGGGTCGAACGGCCATTTCACAGGGGTCGCCAAAGCCCTCTCTTGCCCCCTCCACGCCTTCACTCACCCTCACTCTCTGCTCTGTTGGATCGCTGGCCATTCGCTTACCCCACCCACTCCCAATCTATTGCTGCCTCCTGAGTCCCAGCTGATGGCTAGAGGGAAAAAAACTGTTTAAATTCTTGTCGCCGGGCTTCAAAGGGCCGCCCTACAGCTGATCAGTGTTAAAAGAAAACAAATGAGTAGACCGGTGCCTGCAAAAATAGAAAAAACAGCCCCTTTCAGCTTCAGGATAAGTTAATTAGCACAAGTTGATTAGATCAGCCTTGACTCTCAGCTGATTTGCTCTCAGCTGTTTTGCGGAGGGCTCTGTTGCTAGGTGCAAAAAAATCTGGAGCATATTTTTTTCCCCCTAGCTATGCTGAAAAAACGAAACTGAAAGTAAAGCAGGGTCTTTGCTGCAACGTGACAAAATGAGGCAGAGAGAGATTTCTTTTTCTTTTTCCTCACCAAAAAAAGGTAGGTGCAAAACTGCAAACAATGGGAAATTTAGGGCAAAAAAGGAGGTTCAAGATTTTAAAACACAAAAGAAAAAAAGCTCTATTTAACTAGGGAATTATAATAATTGAGATACTATTAATTGTATATTGTGTTGAAAGCAGAAAAGGTTAAGTTGTGGTTTGGAGGAATATATGGGAGAAATTATTTGGTTTATTATTATTGGTAAATATAATTAACTGATTTGTAAGAAATTGGATTGCATGGAAATAATTGGAATATTCATGTTCATATTGATTAATATACAAAAAAGATAGTTATATAACTAATTGATTTATATTAAAATGTTGAATTTGTATTAAACAACTGTATTACATAATTAACCAATGTGAGGATGGATATAAAAATAGATGACAATGGGAAGGGGTATAATATAGAATAGAAGGGAAAAATTGAATTTGATCAATATTAAGATCTTGATGGGAGTATATTCTGTGGAAGTCCGGGGGGGAGGGGAGGGATAGGGGAGGGATAGGGGGGGTTAGGGAGGGTTAGGTTGGGGAATTTGGGGTGGGTTGGGGGGGGGAAATGGGGTGAAAATGTAATTGTAAAACTTTTGAATAAAATAAAAATAAAGATTAGAGATGAGGATGAAGGGTAATATTGGTTTTTTTAAAAAAATAGATGAGGAATAAATATGGCAAAAAGAGAATATAGAAATTGTAAATTTAATTGAAATGACTAAACACTGGTTAAATTTGTGAACCGGCCAAATACTCTGTTCAAAGAAAATACATTGTATGTTTGTATGTGTGTTTCTAATTATTGCTATTTATTCATATATTCTTTTATTCTTTAAAGTTTAACAATTCATTCTTTATCTTAATATCTTTATATTTGTTTGGGGTTGGTTTTCTTCCCTTTCATCTTTTTTATTGTACAGCAATCTTTCTCCTCAAACCTACCACCTCTCTCTTTTCTTTCCTTCTTACTTTCTCTTCCCCCCCCACTCTTCTCCTCCCTACTTCCTCTTGCTTTCTCCTTCTCCTCCTCTCTTCCTCCCTCTCTTACCCTCACTCCTACTCTAATTTCCCTTCCCTTCCTTCATCCCTCTCTATTGCTGTATCCTTTTATGCATATGGACTACTCAGAGGGCTGAAAAAGTTATTTTTGTCTGGTCCTCGCACTTTCGACTGTCCTCACATTTTACGTTTTTGCCCTATCTTGTCACCATGGTGAAGAGAAGCAGTTGTGAAATGAGTGACACGGTTGTTAAGAATGCTACAATGGGCATAAATGATGACCAGTCATAAGTGTGAAGACCGGTCAAAAGTGCGAGGACCTGTCAGAAATCATTTTTTTCAGCCCTCTGGGTAGTCCTTTTGTGCACATGGACTACTCAGAGGGCTGAAAAAGTTAGTTTTGACTGGTCCTAGCACTTTTGACCAGTTCTCAAATTTACGACTGTCCTCACATTTTACGTTTTTTGGCCTATTTTATCACCATGGTGAAAAGAAGCAGTTGTGAAATGAGTGACATGGTTGTTAAGAATGCTGCATGGGCATAAATGTGAGAATGGTCATAAGTGTGAGGACCAGTCAAAAGTGCGAGGACCTGTCAGAAATGACTTTTTTCAGCCCTCTGAGTAGTCCCTATACACATAGCCATGGCCACCCGGTCACATGACCAGCTAGCCACGTCCACCCAGTCACATGACATCTAAGCCACGCCCACAAAATAAGCCACACCCACAGAACCGGTAGTAAAAAAATTTAGAACCCACCCCTGGTTGGGGGTCACCACAACATGAAGAACTGTATTAAAGGGTCGCGGCATTAGGAAGGTTGAGAACCACTGGGCTAGATGAATCAAAAGTTGAAGTTAAAATTGCCGAGAGAAATATCAACCACCTCAGATATGCAGATGATACCACTCTAATAGCAGAAAGTGAAGAGGAACTAAAGAGCCTGTG